TCCTCAGCCCCAGAGCTGCCCATTCCTCAGCCCCAGAGCTGCCCATTCCTCAGCCCCAGAGCTGCCCATTCCTCAGCCCCAGAGCTGCCCATTCCTCAGCCCCATATCTGCCCATTCCTCAGCCCCAGAGCTGCTCTGTGCAAGGGAGGGATGGATATTGCAAGCTATCACTGTCATCAATAATCCCATCCATGCCTGTCGATTATTTCACTAATTACCTCTCCTAAAAAGACTGCTGAGCATGATTACAAACGTGGCTTTGTTTTGATTGTCTGTTTGCCTGGCCAGCAGCAGAGGCCTGAATTCCTTGACTTTGTTTAACAGTATAAATAATGTTCTCTGTGCTTTCCCAATGCCTGGAGCTGACCCCAGGAGCACAAACTGAATAACACAGCCCTGATAAACTCATCTGCAAACTGCTCAAAGTTGGCAAATTAAGCCCCATTTGCATACTAAAAACTCATCGAAAGAACATTGAGGGACAGATTCTGTTCTTTTGGTTTCCAACTGGTTCCCAGCTGGTTCCAGGGCTGGTTCCTGGGATGGCTCCAGGGCTGGTTCCTGGGATGGTTCCTGGATGGTTCCAGGCTGGTTCCAGGCTGGTTCTAGGCTGGTTCCCAGGCTGGTTCCTGGCTGATTTCTGGGCTGCTTCCTGGGCTGCTTCCTGGGCTGCTTCCTGGCTGGTTCCTGGCTGGTTCCAGGTTTATTCCAGGTTGCTTCCCAGGGTTATTCCAGGCTGGTTCCAGGCTGCTTCCAGGCTGCTTCCTGGCTGGTTCCTGTCTGTTTCTGGGCTGGTTCCTGGCTGATTCCAGGCTGGTTCCAGGGCTGGTTCCAGGCTGTTTCTGGGCTGGTTCCAGGCTGGTTCCTATTCTGGTTCCCAGGCTTGTTCCAGGCTGGATCTCAGCTGATTCCCGGGCTGGTTCCTGGCTGGTTCCCAGCCGGTGCTCCACAGGCAGTAACTCATCACTGCCACCACAGGAAGGAGCTCCAGCACTGCTCGTGGAGCATCGCTCAGCCCTGTGGCTGCCTGGGCTCGCATCTGCCCGTGCTGCTCCGTGCGCTCCATACCTGCTGATACCTTCAGTTCCAGCTCTGCTATTCCAGGTTCTGCCCGGCCCCAGGGTGACCCTGCACCCCACACCCAGTGCCAGCAGCTCTGCCCACAGCCCAGCACACACAGCAATCCTTTACAGCCCCAGAACCAAGGACAGCGCTGCAGCTTCAGCCCCAAAAGTGCCAAGAGCAGCCTG